ACACCTGGGCTTTTATTTGAGGATTTACGGTATATGTATAAGGCAAAATTATTAAAATGGAGAATTCACTTTTTTTCATTTTTAACAAAATCTTGCCTAAATCTCTGTATAAATTGCTGTAAAAGTCGTGGCAGCCATTTTGAAGTGGGGTAAATCCTACTTAGTAACGCTACCGCATTACTAATAAATAGTACAGGAACTTTGGCCCGATTTTTTAGCAACTTAAAAAAATTATTAAAAGATCTAAATTTGATCAGAATACCGTATAGCGGGATATTTTCGTGGGGTCAAATTTTCGTGATTTGGGGTGGTTGAGATTTTTGTGGGTTAAATTTTCGTGATAACTGTATTATAAGAGCCTCTGGCAAAGCCTGGTGAGCTTTCTTTACCTCTCTCTTGACAGCTTTAATCATTTTTGAGGGTAAGCCAAGTGTACTGTCATCAATGGAAGCTTTTTTGGAAGCGGTTTGAAGCCGTATTTCTCTATTTCATTGCACGTGGAGCAATATACTGCAACAGGACACGCCTATACCGAATATGTGCTAAATTTTTGTGCGTTAAATTTTCGTGAAAGTGTCTTGGACACAAAAAACACAAAAATAAGATTCCACGAAAATATCCCGCTATATGGTAAGCTGAATTTTGATACGCAACATAAGGACATAATAGTTATACATACCAGAAAAAATTATAAAAATAGAGACTTCTTTTGTCTAAATACTTTGTACACATACAGGGTATTTGTCCCAATTGTTGAGTAACTTAACAATCCACTTACATGTACATGTACAAGAAGCTGCTGCATGAGCACTATGCCAAAATCCTGGCAACCCTGCCATTCACATGTACAGTACTGTGATAATGTCTTATACTATTATTCATTCTTATTAGGATATTATTTTCAATCAATGAATTGCATGAGAACTGGGGACCTGAAGAAGTTTTTAAAAATCACAAAGTTAATGACAAGTAAGTTTGATATCTAGGGCAACTTTGGTATGTTTGTGAGAGTTTTCATAATTATAATTAAATTGCATGCACAAAAAATTGAGCAGCATATGTATGCATAATCATTATAATTATGCATACACATGTGCTTATGGATGAATGAAATTTGGTAGTGTATAATTTTTCTTAATTTCTGTTTGTAGTAAGAATACTTTATGTATAACATTTATTAATAATAATACTGATGATAAACTGTCACTAAATGTTCTTAGTTATTAATTTTCTCTGTATGTACATCTACGTGTACATGTATATAGGTTATGTAACTGTTTACTGTATAACAGGAAACTTTGTTGGGTGTTTTATTCCACAATTTTATTGTTGATACTTCAAAATAGCCTACATTATACGTGCCTGTAGCTTGATTTAGCACTTGAATACTTGTGTGCTGTGTCACTATTTTGTGACATAATAAACACACACATGTGCTAGCTGGTGAACTGGTATGCTTTCATTCCACATTTTAGTAATTGCAGCACACACCATACATGTACATATTTGGGTTATATTATCAAGCAAAAACATTAATTTTTCTATATGGCTCAAAAGAAGTGGCCACAAAAATTTTCTGCTGTATTTATCGCAATAATATTCAATCTTCAATGCTACTATCATTATTACAATTAATAATATTTTTGTTATTAATTGCATCTTGTTTTTGTGTTTCTATAAGGATATTTTTGTCAAAAATCGCCCTAGGGGTGGATTTTCTATTAATTTTTTATTACATTTTCTGAATTATGATACACACACAGTTTTATATTGTGCAGAAAGTTTGAGCAGATTTAAATTAAATTTGGATTTGTAATGAATTTTGAAGTTACTTGAAAGGCCATGTACATGTATGTATTGTAGTTTTTGTTAGCACATAAATTGCTACTATGTTGGAATCCCTAAAAATTTGTCTATATCTTCATATGTATGCATCATATCCTATGTGAGCCTAATGGGATCTTCTAATTATATCCTGTTTCTAATTTTAGGAGTGATCTGGTATAGGTTTTTTTAATTGTCTCTTGCATCTACATTTATGCATGTATATACAGACTCTCCCAAGCACCAAGGGACAGATGTTATCTTCAAGCAATAGAATTGAGTACAGAACACTGTAAGAATATATCAGTTGTATGACAGTATTATATAACATATACATGTATACATGTACTTATGCATGTGCATACACTTGTATTGCTGATAGTGTCGTATAGCGCGAAAATTTTGTGGAGAACTAAATATTTTTGTAAATCCATCAAAAATGTAAAATTTAAATTTGTGATTAAACGTTATTTAAGATTGGTAAAATAATTCTCTACAAAATTCTCTATTATATGTAGCATTTTTCATTCTTATGAAAAGGCACTGATGCTATTTGCAGATCATTGGAAACGAATAAACTACATGTACTAAGATTTGTAAAAATTATAGATTAATAATTTCATGAATGATTATCTGCCCATGGGCAAACCAGTAAATAAATAAATATTAATTATATTTTTTCTGTATCATTTACTCCAGTGCAAACTGTGTGATGCTAAGTTTTGGAGTGCTCCAGTATCACTTGGTGTTCTCACACATGTACATGGAAAATTATTAACTAATGTCAATGCTAGGGTCATCCCTGCAATTGCATGCTGATACATTATATCAAAGTGTTGTCACATTGCTGTTAACTGGTAAGGGATCAATAATAATTATGATATATTACACCGTATAGCAGGTTTTATTGAGGATAACAAATTTTGTGGATTTGTTAAGATTTGCAAAATTAAATTCCTTGAAAATCAATTTAATACGGTATAAAATGGCAGAAAAGTGGAAGTTCGTGTAAATTAATTTTGTGAGCCTCCAGGTACAGGCCATTCACAAATATTATTATCCTCGAAAAAATCTGCTATATAGTACCTGGTTACACATTATACCTACATTATTATGCATGTACTGTACATGTGTGCATTTACATGTCCTTAAAAGTGTGTACTAGTTCCAATTAGTAACGCGGTAGCGTTACTAAGTAGGATTCACCCCCAAACAAAATGCCGCTGCCACGACTTTTGCAGCCTTGCTATATATACCGGGAAAACGAGCTCCTCATGCTTACCAGACTTCTTAGAGGACCTTATCTTGACCAGAGGACTCCAATGGTACCCAGAGCGTGGCTCTAGACCTTTTCTGGGAGAAAAATAAAAAATCTGCAAACCGGCCGTTTTGTTCAGCCACCTTTTTTCATCTTCATCATCATCAAGTTCAGTCAGTAGTCCTGTCAATCCAGTTGTCGGTCGATATATCGATCTTGCCTGGTGATAGAAGGCTAATACTTACACCATTCTACTCCCACAGGGTATGCGCAGGTCCTTGTTCCCTAGAATCATTCTCCAAGAAAGGAAAAAGTGATACTGTGACTGTTGGATCGCACCAGCTTACCTCATGCCGCCATTTTGTTAATTAAATAAAGAAGCATGTGCTCCCAAAATTTGGGCGTGGTCGCGCATGCTCAGATCTCAGAACTGGGAACAGCAAGTAATCTTTTACGTAGCTAGGCTAGCTATGCTTGGAATCAAATTGCAATACTTAGTGGAGGTTTCCAGCTAAGAGAAGGTATTAATCTTGCATATATCAAGTGTGTAATGAATTATTTTATTTCAAAAACACAAAACAATTAATTAATGTTTATAATACTAGTGATAATATATAAATATGAACTTGACAGAAGGAAGACCTGCAGGAATAGCTACAGGATTGCTGGGAAGATAGAGCTTCTTGAACAAGGATTCACATCAAGACTATAGTATTTATTTCACTTGTCATCAGTATAGTAGATATTCCTTCACCATATCTATTCAATTCAATCAGTGCTGTCCCTCATAAATGCTGTAAAATCATAACAATGACAACAATAATAAAGAAACTTATTGTTTGTATAAAATCAAAAAGTATCACAATTGTAACTGAAAAAATATTATAAATATTATTTTAAAAATTAACACAAACAAGAACATAAAAAATTTAAAAAAACAA